AGATACAATTACGGCCCTTCAAGCTCAAGTGACCCAAATTGCTCAACAAAATCAACTCCTTCTACAACACATCAAAGAAAATCCACCACAACAAGTCCAAGCCCTGGATTCTCCATGTTGTGAAATTTGCGGTGGAAATCATTATACGCTCCAATGCCAACAAGATGTGGAATCGCTCAACTACGTCAACAAGGCGCCTCGCCAATTCCAAAATCAAGGGTGGAGATCACAAGGACAATATGGAGGAAATCAACAAGGCCAAGGGTATCAAAGACCTCAAGGTCAATTCCAAAATCAAGCCCCTCCCCAACAAAGCTATCAAGGCAACATCCACCGGTCCAAAAATCAAACACGGATGAAATATTGGCCCAATTCATGACCGCTACCTAAGCCTCGCTACGAAAGTTGGGAAATCAATTCGCTCAATTCACTTTGAATCAAGAGAACCGTCCGGCAGGAGCATTGCCATCGACTACGGAAGATCCTCGAAAGCAAAAGTTCGAGACGTGCAAAGCTATCGATTTCAAGATCGAGAAAAATGAAGAAATTCAAGTCAAGCCGCAAGTCACTGTACCTGCATGGGTGGAACCAATCCCATATCCACAAAGATTGCTAACGAAAAAGATCAAGGTCGAGACGTGCCAAGCAGTCACCTTGAAGAACGGTAAGCAATTGGAGGAAGCCCCACGAAAAGAGAAGAGAAACACGGTGATCGAGAAGCCAAAAGTGAATGAGGAAAAATAATCAACTCATGAAGAGTCACCATCAACGGTTCCTTCACAAGTCCCTCCAATTCCTTATCCTCAAAAGTTTATAAAGAAGAAGCTCGATGCCGAATATTAAAGATTTTTGGACAAGTTGAAGGAAATTCGCATAAATATTCCTTTCATTGAAGCACTTCAAAAGATGCGAAAGTGGGTGAAGTTCCTCAAGGACCTCGTGAAGAAAAGTAAGAAATTGCAAGGGAATGAGATGATCCAACTCACGGAGCAAATTAGTGCAATTCTTACTCGGCCCCTTCCACAGAAACTCGGCGATCCAGGTAAGTTTACTATTCCTTGTACTATAGGAGGTAAAAATTTTAGATCCCCCATTGATTTAGGCGCTAGCATTAATCTTATGCCCTATGCCACTTTTAAAAATCTTGGGTTAGGAGAAATTGAACCGACGACTATAACTCTTCAATTAGCCGATAGATCTTTAGTTTACCCAAAAGGTGTTTTAGAGAATGTGCTAGTGAAAGTTAATAAATTTATCTTCCCTGTTGATTTCGTTATACTTGATATAGATGAGGATAGGGAGATACCTCTTATCGTAGGGAGACCGTTTTTAGCCACGTCGAAGACGCTAATTGATTGTGCTAGTGGTGATTTTACAATCACTGTTCATGATCAAACAATCAAATTCAATGTTTTTAGTGCTAATAAAAATCCATGTGATAATAATGATTGTTTTGCTATTGAGCTTATGGATTTTACAACTCATGAAAAATTTGATGTTTTGAACTTGGACAATGGGAAAGTATCTTTGAGTGCAGGAGATGATGGCAGAAACGGGAATCGGAAGGAGCAAGTTTACTTTGTGGACTCAATTTCAACTCCTCCGACATAAAGTCATAAGATTTGGGGTCTTAACGACGATGAAAGTGCAAGGAAGATGTTGCCACCCAAAGACTCGAGCAAGTCACGAGAGAAGGATGAGTCAAGATATTGTGGTCGTAAGGAGAAAGTCAAAAGGAAATTGCACAAAGGACAATTGGTGTTATTGTGCAAATCACGGCTGTGGTTATTCCCATGGAAGCGCAAATCAAAGTGGTCGGTACCATTTATTGTCCAAGAGATTCTTCCTCACGAAGTGGTCAAAATAAAGGAGCGAGATTCAAATCGTACGTTCAACGTGAAGCGGAGCCGGCTCAAACCGTATTGGGAAGCGAGTGAAGATTGCCAAGTGACTTCGGTCACTTTTGCTTGAAAAGAAAGAAGCAACATCTGGCTGAAGACTTTAAACTTAGCGCTTCTCGGGAGGCAACCCGAGCTTTATTGTTTTTCGTAGATTTCTTTAATTTTTCCTTTCGTTTTTTATTGTCATAGGCATGCATTCTAATTAATTTATTTGAATTTTAATTTTCAAGGTCGAAAACATGGTCAGGGGGTCCAGACGGTCGTCCGAAATTGCAAGCAAAATCCCAGACGGTCGTCTGGGAAACAGAAGGCCACAAACGGCAGGTCTGCCTGTGGGACGACCGTCCGAAAAAATAGCACAAAAGTGGGACGGCTGTCCCACAACCAGTAAGGGCAAAAAAAAAGTAAAAAATCGTATTTCTTTCCCGTCGATTCTCATACCCCGATCACATCGACTCCGACTAAATCACGTGTTTTCTATCCTTAAACTTTGTGCTAATTTCGTTGAGGGCAACGAAAATTTTAAGTTTGGGGGTGAAAAACATGTTTTTGTGCTTATTTGTTTTAGTTTGCATGCATTAGGTTTTATTTACTTGTATTGCTTTTATCGTTTTCTTTTCCAGAATATAAAAAAAAATTAAAAAAAAAATATTTGCTTGAGTCGAATGCATCGATGATTTATGATGATGAGAGATGATCAATGTTTGATGATGAGATTGCTTGTTTTGTGTGATAAGGATTAGATGTTTGTTTAGCTTTCGATTCAACGGAACTTAGAAACGAATTATTGCTAGGAATCTCACTTTGTGCATTGCTTTGGTTGAATGTTTTGTATTTTAAATTTGGAATTAATTTGTGCTAGATCATGCTATGTTCGGTTTTAGAAAGCTTAGGAAATTTATGATACGAAGTATTGAGTTGTGAGTGACTTGGGATATGATTTGGGCCTTCTTTGAACCGTTTGAGCCTTTCAAGCCAACCTTTTTTATCGAAATTATCATTTGAACCTTGATTTGAGCCTCAGAGAAAAGGTGTTATTTCTTTTAGCCAACGTATATAAGGTAGAATAGGTGGAGATTCTTGAAAAATTACCCCTTGGAGTTCGGTCGAAATTTTTTATAAGGTCCTTCTTCTTCTTCGAAAAAAAAAATACAAATATATATGCTTCTATATATATATATTAAAAAAAAAAGAAAAAAAAAAGAAGAAGAAAAAGAGACTAGAAGGGAGAAGTAAGGACTAGTTGTTGAATTGTTTTTAAAGCTCGATCCATTAGCTTAAGAGCAAAAGTGGAGACTTTTGAACTCTTAAGAATCGAGTTTATTAAAGTCCTTAGAGGTGAATTCATTGTTTCAAACGCCTATCTTTCAAATTTTGGCGAAATCACCTCAATTCAAGAAAAATAGCCACATATACCCATATTTCCTACCTCGAACCAAAAAGCCTAACAATTGAAAACCACAAAGCCCCAATGATCCCAATAGCTTAATGTTCAATATTAGTAGAGTAGAATAATTTGGTGAGCATTTGGAGTCAAACATATGCATGTAAGTATAAATTCTTTCTATCTTTAATTTGCAAATATAGGATGCTTGAAGCAATTGTATGATTTGTGGTTTTTGGTAATGGTGAGTGACTAAGTGCTGTTGAATTTTGAGCTTGCGAATGCCTAAGAATTGTCATTATAATTACAAGTTCTGAAAACGTGAAGTTGATCATTGATCTATGTAATGAGATGTAGTAGTTGAGTTATATGCTTATTGGTAGATTTTGCTTGAGGACAAGCAAAAGTTCAAGTTTGGGGGTGTGTTAAGTGTATATTTTTACACTTTATCGTACCTTTTAATTGGAGCTTTTGGTGTGTTTTGACGATAATTGGTTCTTAAAAAGTTGATTTATTGTATTTTAGGTACAAATTGAAGAATTGGAAAAGTATGGGGTAAAAACTTCAATTTTGGAGAAAATATGGGCCAAACGTGAAAAAATCAAAATTCTGAAGATTTAAATCCCGGACAGCCGTCCGAGTTTTAGTTCAAAATGTGGGACGGCCGTCCGAGACCACGAGGCAGCGCAGTAAAGGGATTTTAATTGCACAAGGAAACTGCCTTCTTCCCCAAGTTTTTAACCCTATATAAGATCAAGCCAAGCACACAATTGGGGATCCATCTTTTACGCAACTTCAAGAGCAACAAAGCAATAACGAAGACGAAGAATTCGAAGACTCCAAGCATAGATTTATCGTTTATGACTTATTTTATTTGCGTTTTTACTTTAATCATGAGTAGCTAATTTTCTTATTTTTAGGATTTTATTTGGAACCCTATGTGGGATTTATGAACCATTTTCTATGATTTTATGCAAGTTTTAATTCCAGATTATTTCTTCTACTTGTTTTATTAAGTTCATGAAACTGGCCACTTTATGTGCTTTTATGTTATTGTTAATCGCATGAATCGGAAGATCGGGTTAATGATTAGAATTGTGGTAGAAGAGCCTTCGTGGTATTAACATAGGAATATAGTTAATCTCTTAGGTAGCCATTATTGAGATTTGTGCTTAAAGCTGTGTTTTAGAATTAATTGCGTAGGAATACAGTAATTGAATCTAGAGTATTAGAATCGTAATATACGCGGAAACGGGTTATGATTAATTTAGCATCTCAGGTTAATAATCCGGGTTAATTGCTTGCATAATTGAAGGAATTGGGGGAGTAATAATCACATAGGGGGGAGAATAAAATCCTAGGCTTGTCTACTTTGATTAATCTTCGTGTTTAAATTGCTTTCTTATTTTTGCTTGCTTTTTAATTTAGTTTAATTTAGTTAATTCTCTCTAAAGTCGACTGTGTAGGGTGGACTTGATAATAATTGCTAGAATTTAGCGTCAAAGATTAAGTAATTAAATATTCCCTGTGGGTTCGATATCCGAACTTAATTGTGCACTATATTACTTGTACGATACGTGCACTATAATTGATACATCCGAGATATATTTTTTCATAAAAGATTAAAAATTTGTTAACCAAAAAATAAAAATAAAAATAAAAATAAAATAAAATAAGTACACGTGGAAACACGGCATCGTTGCTCTTCTTCTCTTCTCTATTCAGTATTCACTTATCCCTGTAATCCCGAAAACTAGATTCCTCCCGCACCTCGACGGCATCACCCAGTTTGACATCCGCATCTTCGCCGTCAACTACCTGCCTCCGCCGCCGCACCACCACCACCTTAACCCAGCCCCATCCACTATTACTTTATCCACCACCATCTAATCGAAACTCAGAAATTCCACTTGCCACAAGTGTCTTCAGTTTTCTGAGTTGGTAATCCAAATCTCAAAAAACTAGGGATCCAGTTGAAAAATTATGATGGGCTATGAAAACCAGGGTTACGAAGAAGCAGCCCATCTCCACACTCGGAAAGATCAGATGACGTCGATTACCCTCTCCGACGATCCCTCACTTCAATCCAACGGCTCAAAATCGTTCCTTAACGACCCACTCTCTTCATCTTCTCAGTTCGTCGAGATCCCCACCGATGATAGTGATCCTCTGCGTTCGACACAAACCCCAAGCCCCACCAACCATAACTCAATCAATTCCATTCTAGAACCCCCTTCTTACGCAGAAGCCGTTTTCCGATCGTTTGATCTCGATTCGATTGATTCTGCCGATGTCAACGGCCAGGATCATTCCCCATTGGCGCCATCGCCCTCATTTTCATCGAATTACCTCAAAATATCTGTTTCGGATCCACTGCGGGAGCAGGAGCTAGCAGGAGGGTCTCTTGTGCCCGGAGGAAGTTCGTATTTCTCGTACTTGATTACCACTTTTACGAACATCTCCGATTTTAGTGGGACGGAATTTAATGTTAGGAGAAGGTTTAAAGATTTTGTTGCCCTATCGGATAGGTTAGCGGAAAGTTATCGTGGGTTTTTCATTCCTTTGAGGCCCGATAAGAGTGTGGTTGAGAGCCAGGTGATGCAGAAGAACGAATTCGTGGAGCAAAGGCGGGCAGCGTTGGAGAAGTATTTGAGGCGGTTAGCTGCTCACCCGGTGATAAGGGTGAGTGAGGAACTAAGGGCATTTCTTGAGTCCTCTTCGAAAATATCACTTTATAATAGGACGAGTGATGCTAATATGGCATCATCAAGAACGTTGGATGGTGATGTGAGCGATGCGATGCAGCCCGCTAAAGGCGGGATGGATTTGTTGAGGATGTTTAAGGAGTTGAAGCAGTCGGTGGCGAATGATTGGGGTGGAGTTAAGCCCCCACTCGTCGAGGACGATAAGGGCTTTTTGGAAAGAAAAGAAAAGTTGCAAGATTACGAGCAGCAGCTGGTTAATGTGTCGCAGCAGGTTAATATCTTGTTCCTCTTCTATCGATTGTAACTTGATTTATTTCGCTCTTGCATTGTATATACATTATTGGTGGTGTGAAATTTTATGTCTTTCCGTTGATTGATGATAAGGTTATAATTGACTAGTTTGTACATGCACAAGATGGATTATGATGACCTAAATTATTTTATCCTCATTTTGGATGTGAAAAGATGTACATCTCAATTCAGGTCGCAAACTTTACGTGTTGGTTAGGTGCGGGGACTTAGTTTTAAGCATGACTCATAAGAACAGCCTTTCCTGATTACCTAAACAACCGATGGGATAGGTAATTATGGTGAATGACCTATTCAACGGCTTTGTTTCAGGTGAAATAAATGCTATTATCACCTTTTACTAGATTATAGTGCTACTTCATAGTTTCTATGAAATTCCTGAAACAAAATCTGGTAAAAGGGTTTGAGCTGGTACTGCTATAGCTATTGGGATGTAATGGGGCTTTTGTGATTCCCTGGGTATTGCTTTTGGTTCAGAGTATTGGAGATTTTAGTTTGGCCAGCAAATGGTGCATGGTGGGTAGAGATTCTCTATTGAAGAAAGAACATCCGAATGTATATGCTACGTCTTTTTTTAGTTCAATTCTACTTCTTTGATCTTTTAAGCTGCGCACGACAAAAACTAATAATATGGATTGACATGTTTTCTAGTGCCATTGTTCAATTACTTATGTTGTTTTAGGAAGTGCGTTATATCTAGCATTACATGTTAATGGCATTATTTTGCCAACATTACTAGGATATATCTAGTGGCCCATTAGGTTCCTCACTGAAGTCAATTTTGCTAGACATGATTGCAGGGAGTCCTGCTTATTTGGAATTTTTTGCTGTACTATTCTGTGTACACATTGTATTTGAAGTGTTTGCAATCTCATTTAATGCTCTTTTGTCCCACACAACTATCTACATCTCATTTTATGAAAAATCTGAAATTTATACCATACTCTTCGGTTATGTGCAAGTCAAGATCGGTTAATATAAAGCCTTAATACCTCATCAGTGTTTTTAATATGACTCTAGAATCAAATAATGTCACGCATGAGAAATTGGCTTTTCAATATGATTCGAAGAGAATCTGGAAAACATCGTTGTTTAAATTGTCAAATGTTTTTATTTTGCTTGCTGTAAGTTTTCTTTAAGACCCTGATATTGTTTCATTATATCCTAGGATTCGATTTATATTTTGTACAAGTGAAGTGATTGTAGATGGATTCTGGTTGTTTTTTTCTGAAAAAAAAAAATTATTTATTGTAATTATAAGATACATATGTAATCTGTGAACACCTGTGGTAGCAACTTTGATTAAGTACTCCTGTGTTGTTCTATATTTTCAGGCTGAATCACTTGTGAAAGCACAGCAAGATATTGGGGAGACAATGGGCCAGCTGGGGCTAGCTTTTGTCAAATTGACCAAGTTTGAAACAGAGGAAGCTATTTTTGATTCCCAAAGAACCCGCTCTAACGACATGAAAAATGTGGCTACAGCTGCAGTAAAAGCAAGTAGATTATATCGAGAATTAAATGCTCAAACTGTCAAACATTTGGTAAATCAATTCGATATTTCCTTATTGTTTCATGGTTTTCTAATATCCTGTATTGCTCATGTCTAATATATCACTTATAATTCAGGATAAGATCCATGAGTATCTTGGAGTGATGCTTGCTGTCAACAATGCATTTTCAGACCGATCAAGTGCTTTCCTAACTGTACAAACTCTTTTATCAGACCTATCATCATTACATTCAAGAATAGAAAAGCTTGAAGCAGCTTCATCAAAGATATTTGGTGGGGATAGATCGAGGATTCGGAAAATCGAAGAGCTGCGAGAAACAGTACGAGTAACTGAGGATGCTAAAAATTCTGCAGTTAAAGATTATGAACAAATCAAGGTAAGATCTCTAAACGAGAAGTTAATCTATGGCTAATTGGTAATATTCCTGCACATATACATGATGCTCTTAACTGAAACCCATGTGTCGCTATCTACATTTTTTGCTTCGGTAAATTTGTCTTTGGCTTACCTTCTGAATCAAATTGCTACTCCTTTGCGTTGTATGACAACTGATAAAGGCTTAGTTGTTTCCCATTTTCACCACTACAAAAACTACGTTTGAATGTTAACATCTCTTGGTGCATAGAAATTTTGTAAGAACAAAGTTTTCTTTTGTGGTTCCGTTTTTATTTACCTTTCATATCACTAATATGTGATACCTACCTTAAGGTTTGAACTCTATTTGACTGAGTGTTGATATTCTGGGTTTACATTGTACTGTGATAGTAAATTTAGATTAATTGTTACTAACTTGTGAGGGTATTTACAGCCTAGGATAGCATTTTTATTTACATAACCAGGTTATAATTGTTTGGAAGAAAAAAAGACCAGATGTGAATGTGATGGCATTTGTATATTGATCTAATGGTCATGCAGTTTTATTTTATATCATACATCCATTATCAAATTGTACGATTTTAATATGATTTTAAGGGCTGGATGATAAGAGTCGGACGTTGTATCGTCTCAATCTGTTTATCAATGTTGGGCTTGAATCGCACCGTATCTTGCGTATTGCGATACGTAAGCGATAGTGCGATACACATGATATTTCATCTCTGTTTTAGGAAAGAAAAAAAAAGAAAGAGAATAAACATACCACCGACTCATTTATTCTTCAATTTCTTCAAAACAATTCCCAAAATGTCAAACCATACTAAAGAAAATCGCGATTTTCTCTTAAAACTACGGGATTATCTCAATTCAAGAGCAGTTCATGCAGATTTGACGCAATTTGTGTGCAATTTGGAGTATGCATTGCTATTCATCGTGATTTGGGCAATTTTGGTGTGTTTATATGCAAATCCGGTGCGATTTAGGGAGAGTTTTAGACGTTATAGTCTTATAGACTGGGCTTCGGTATTCTTCAATCTTCTCGACTCAGACACGAGTCTCGCTGTTTATTTTGAGTTTGACACGATTCAGATGCGATTTGAGGTTGGCTTTATGCTATTTTGACTGGGTGTTGTTTTAGGAGTGGGTTTTGTACTGTTGAATCCAGATTTATTTGATGTTTTTCTTAATAAACTTTATAACTTGAATGTTGAAACTTGATCTAGATTTCCTTAAAATATAGGGCTTTGCTTTTTCAATGTTAGTTTTTTCATATTTGTAATATTTTTTTATTATGTAAAATATATTTTTTGCAATTAATATTAAGTGGCCACGTATCTTGTGATTCATAATAAGATACATGAGGAAAACGATACCCGATATGATATGCAATTTAATGACATTGACCCAACTAAGTAATTAGATATTGAGAATTCCTAATGATGATTTTTTTACTTGACTGCACTCACAAAGGGAACATAAGTCGTTAGCCTAAGATCATAAATGCATGGATTAAAATCTTGCTCGGGTGCAGCTAAAATTTTATTCCAATGGAACGACTATATGATAGTATATCTACAACTTGTATTGAATATGAAATTATGTTATGGAATGGTATCTCCAGTTATATTGCCTTTGTGGATCTCAATATATTTGTTCCTAGAAACTGGGTTACATGTTAGGAAATCTTTTATTTCAATTAGGTTCTAAACTTATATTAACATTTTTTGTTTTCATATATATCATTTTATGGTATACACGCACATCGCCTCCGCCACTATGACTTGTGATGATTCACAGGACATTGATGTTGTCAATAAAACAAATTATTTCATGGAATTCATTTAACTACCGTTTATGTTCGATGGTGCTTTTGTTGAATTTTTGCAGACAGAGCTGACTGGACATCTGTATTTCTTTCTTTCTTCATTTTTTTCTTCATTGTTCACTTGATGTGTGTTCACAGAAATCAATCTTTAATTTTCTTCAACTTGCAAAATAAGTGAAAAAAGTGCCTAGTCGTTGTTTTCTTTGGTATTCATTGTCATACATTTACTTTTGCCTGCTAATAGTTTCTAGAATTCCTTACATTACTGTAGAATTGGAGTGTAACAAGATTGGAACAACATTTATTTTTATTTTGATGTTAAAATTACTATTATATGTGAACTACTATTTTATTTTTGTCCTTGTAAGATGATTGCCGTCTCAATAATGATTACTTTTCCATACGCAGGAAAATAATAGAAACGAGCTGGAGAGACTAGACAAAGAGAGGCATGATGATTTTGTGAACATGCTGAAAGGATTCATTGTTAATCAGGTATTCATTTTCTCCTGTGACTTGTGTTGTTAAACTTTGTTGCCTGAATCTGATCACCAAGTTTCCTTGACAATATTGTCTTAACATAATCTCTAGGAGCATCTCCGACCTGTATCACCATTTTTTCACCAAATCCCATTTTTTGTGGTGAAAAAATGGGTTCATTTTTTCACCAAATCCCATTTTTTGTGGTGAAAAAATGGGTTCATCTCCCACCGGTAGCACACCATTCTACCCTTCCACCATTTTTGGTGAAAAATCTCCAATGGATTTCACCAAAATTTAGACCAAATATTAAAATAATAATATTTCACCATTTCACCACTTATAGGAGAGGGATTAGGTTTGGTCTCCCATAGCATTTCACCATATATGCCCCAAAACTGTAAATCTAATGTTTATCGTAATTTTAGTATATTTTATTTCCTAAATATTAATTATAGATCCAATTTTAAGTAATAGTTTTTTTTAGCTATCTAATTTAAGAATTATGTTATTAATTTTACAAAACTATCTAAACTTGAAATAACATGAACTCAAATTATTTTATTGTATAAATAACAATATTAGAACATAAATTAATTTAAAATCATAAAAAAATAACTCATTCACCATTAGCATCATCATCACCTATATGCTAATTTATCTATATGCTAATTAAGTCGGTAATCAGGTGCAATTGGTTAAAATCATCATCTATATGCTAATTAATAAAATGGTATTAATTACACCAAATCCTATTTTCATCTCTATATTTGGTAGGAAAAATAGTATTTGGTGGAAAAAATAGGAAAATGGTGGATGGGTGGGAGATGAAAATTTCTTCACTAAAAAATTTGGTGGAAAAACAGGATTTGGGTATTTGGTGATATGGGGGTTGACCACGGTTGAAGGCTAAAACCAATTCTCTATAATTTTAGATGTAATGGTGATATAGGAATTTTGGGTGGGAGGCTAAAAACACATAAATTAGATGAAAAAATGGCGATATATTGACCGGTCGGAGATGCTCTAACAAAAATATCTATCTTTCTTGTGTGATATATTGTTGGTGATACAATGGTATTTTATATATTTAGTTGTTGGGCTTCTTATATATAATTACAATTTGAGATTCATAATGATTTACGATTAGTATTTTTTATAAAACAATTCACAATTATACAACCATGATTAGGAGTATAAAATTTCTAGAAGCCATGAAGAAGTTCCGTATCCCATTCCTTTGCTCTGTTCCTTTTGAGAATTCGCTTGTTTGCTAGATTTTAGAGAAATAGAAAAATAAGCAAGCGAGAAATCTTGGTTGTGCTGAAGATAGCTACTTTACTGCTAGTTATAATCTATGTGGTGATTATTTTTATCAAATTGATGCTAACAGGCAGGATATGCAGAGAAGATGGCTAATGTTTGGGAGACGGTTGCTGAAGAAACTAGTGGTTATGCGAAAAAATGATAATTGAAGTAAGATCTGGTCGTATATATTTGTTAAGATGCAGATTTTTACTCATCGGTCTTTCACCCTATTTTCACATTCATGTAATTTTATCTAGTGAAAAAAGAAAAGGAAAACACACAAATTTTCATTCAGAAAAAGCTTTTATCTATTGCAGGTTTGTTAGGTATGTTGCCATATGATATATATGTGGATAATTTTGCCTTTTAATTTGTGAAAAATGAAATCTCTTTGGGAAGAAGGGTCCTTCTTGATTCGATTCTGTTTGTTTTAGGCATGTAATAATTAATGTATGCATTTAACCTTTTCTTACCGTCTAGAAAAATGTTTGGTTATGTTTTCATCTCAATTTATTTCTTTCCCCGAAACCGTGTTTGTTAGGCTCTGATTGGTTTGCGGAAAATGGTAAGTAAAATTGTGAAAAGTCAAAGTAATCGAATTTTCTTGTTTGGTTAAAATGTAAATTAGTAAGTAAAGTAATTTGGGGGAAAATAGAAAACATTTTTAACCTAAAATAAGGAAAAAGTTTTTTCCTCAAAAAAAGTGAGGAAAAGTGGGAAAATAGATGGGGGTGATTATTCTCGACCTACCCACTATATTTTCAATTCTTCCACTATCATTCACAACATCTCCGTCGGCAGACCGCCGCTGCCGACTGCTGCCACCATTTCCGTCTCCACCTCCACCTCCACCTCCACCTCCACCACCACCATCGGAACCTCTCCTCCATTGCCAACTCTTTTCTCGGCCGCCGTCATTAACCTCTCCTCTGTCGCCACTAACCTCTCGTTCGCCGCCATAAACCTCTCAATCTTTCATTGGACTAGACTCGGTTCAGCACCGCCGCACCCGCCGCCGTCGATTTTTATACATATTTGTTTTGGTTTTTATTTTATTTTTTAGTGTTACATAAAAAAAATCTAAGAATAGATTTTTGTACAGTGTTTTGTGTATGTTGCCAGACAAAGCTAAAGAAAGTGCTTTTCAAAGAAAATCATTTTTATGACCAATTTTTCTAGCAACCAAACGAAATTGGGATTTCAAATTTCTTTGTTTTCCTTTTTCTTTGCATTTTCATTTTCATATTTCAAAATTCATGATCCAATTAGAGCCTTAAGGTTTCTGAAAAAAAATGCAAAACAACTTTCGAAATTTTTCCCTCTTCCTTCGGATATGATGCGACTACTACAGGGGATGCATAATTAGCCTTTTCAGAAAATTTTCAAACATTTTCGGAAGTACAACATCAATTCTAATTCCAAAATTTTCGGAATTTAAAAATTCAGTCCGATTTCAAAAGGCCTGGAAATTTAGATAAAAGTAAAACTAATAATTTTTAAATTTCCAAAATTTAAAAATTCAATCCGATTTCAAAACCCCTAGCTACATGAAAAATATTTGACTGCTCTTCACTTAAAAACAAATAAACATCACTTTATTTTTAAAATTTTATTTCTACAAAACATTTTTCTAACACCTTTTTCTTTAACATGATTTGACTGCTAGAATCTATTTTGTCTCATTTCAAATTATAAACAAACATTATTCTAATTCTCCAATTATTCTCTAAAAACATATATTCCTAAAATAAAATAAAAATAACTCCCAGAACGAACGTATCCAAACATTGCCAAGATATCAGAAGACAGTAAGCTAATTTAGCCCACAGTTAAAACATATCAGCAACACTCTTAAAATTTAAATAATACAACAATACATAAGTAGATGAATTGCCAATCTGAGTTCATTTCCTACAGCCACATGGATGGAATTAAGAAGGATTCACATCCTGTTGTTTACATAACAGATTGGCCTTTTCCTTGCAAAATTGCCAATCCAACAACATTTACTTACATATACAACAACAAAAGAAAAAGAAAAAAAAAAAAAGAAAAAACAGCACGCCATTAAAATTTCAAGAATGAAAGAATAGTGGAATTTAATCACTACCAGCTAGCCTAATACATTAATTAATCAAACTTAATCACTAGGTGATAGAATTTGCCCAGCAGCATCATCATCACCTGAGCTCGGGTGAGCTGTTCCCGGTCTAATCTCTTCAAGTTGCTCAAGTATCTGATAAGCTTCGGGTCGAACCGAAGGCGAAGGATCGACACAGTGCAAAGCCAGTTTCAACGTATTCAACAATTCATCACCAATTACCGAAGCATCCCTCATCAGCTCCAAATCAAACACTTCATTTGTCCACTCCTCCTTCACAATCGACGCAACCCACTGCGGAAGATCAACACCGCCTTCTTCACCCGGTGACTTTCCTGTTAGTAGTTCTAATATGATCACTCCAAGGCTGTATACGTCTGTCTTTGTCGTCGCTTTCTTCAGCTTTGATAGCTCCGGTGCACGGTATCCTAGAGCGCCAGCTGTCGCTATCACATTTGCATTTGCAGCTGCTGTCATCAGTTTTGAAAGCCCGTAATCTGCAATCTTTGCATTTGTGTGTTCGTCGATAAGGACATTGCTTGATGTAAGATTACCATGGATTATATTCACATTCTTGTGAAGGTAGAGCAGCCCTCTTGTCATCCCTTTGGTTATCTTCATCCTTGTCGACCAATCAATCGGTGTATCGGGTGCCCGAGCTGCAACCAAAAATAAATAAAAATCCAATTTCAGTTCGATACTAACTTAAATTAATGAAAAAAAAAGAAAAAAAAAACCCACTAACCATGAAGAAAAGTGGCAAGACTGCCTTTAGGCATGTAGTCGAAAACAAGAAGCTTTTCGCCCTTTGGGCCTAAATAATAAGCTCTGAGGGCAAGAAGATTGGGGTGCCTAATCTTGCCAAGTACATTGACCTCGGTTTCGAATTCTCTCTGTCCTTTGGTTATCTTTTCTCTTAATCTCTTAACAGCAACTTGAATGCCATCTTCCATTGTAGCCTTGTACACCGTACCGTAAGTGCTTTTGCCCATTATCTCTGCAGTTGCACACAAGAGATCATCTGCACTAAACATCAATGGTCCATCAAAGTGCACTAGCTTCCCTCCCGTTTCTCCACCATCACCACCACCACTTGCTTCCACTTCGCCTGCGGTTGGTGGAATACCCTTTTCGCCTCTCGCTTCAACACCGCCCGCCTTAGCTTCTTTCGCCGTTTTTCTTTTCCTTATCAAACAGCACAGCAAAATGCAACAAATAACCAGCAGTATGATAAGCAGAATCCCTGCTGCAATTAGGATAACGTCTTTAGTACTCAATTTCCGGCCTCTCTTTTTCGGTGATTGAGTGGGTGATAATGCATTAGGACACGGGGTTGAATCACTGTATCCGCAAAGCTGAAGATTGCCTATAAAGGCACTCGAGTTGAATTTTCGGGAAAGATTTGTCGGGACAGGGCCCGAGAGGTTGTTGTACGAGACGTTGAAGGAATCAAGACTCGTCAATTCACCAAGAGAATTTGGAATTTCTCCACTGAAATTGTTGTGAGACAAATCAATCTCCCTAAGTGATGAAATATCACCAATTGTAGCTGGAACTCGAGACTCGAATCGGTTGTTGCTCAAATTAAGCACGGAAAGGTTACGGAGATTAGAGAGAGCATCAGGCAAGCTCCCATTGAAGGAATTACCCGATAAATCAAGTGTTATGAGAGCAGTGAGATTACCAATATCACTAGGAATGAATCCACTGAATTGGTTATGGGCAAGTGAGAGATGTTGAAGTAAAGCCAAGTTGCCAAAAGAATCCGGAACAACCCCAGAAAGGGAGTTGTTTTCGAGGGCAAGAAACACAAGTGATGGAGAATGCGTAAAACTAGTTGGTATTGAACCAGACAAAGAATTGTAGCTAACATTGAGCCTAAAAAGCTTAGTTGAGTTGACCAAACTAGGTGGTATTGAACCGGACAAGGAATTGCGAGCAAGGTCAAGTGTTTGAAGGAGAGGACAAGAGCCAAGTGAAGGAGGAATTGAGCCGGAAAACCTGTTGTTGAACAACTGAAGGCCTCTGAGATTGGGTAAGAAACCCAGAGAAGTGGGGATAGGACCGCCGATGAGATTGTCGTGGAGGCTGAGTTTTCGAAGAGCTTGAAATTGGCCTATCTTTTCGGTGATGCGGCCGCCTAAACCGCGCCATGGAAGCTGGATGACAATAACTTGGCCCTGGGCGCATTTGATGCCGAGCCAACTGCCGGAGCAAGCGCCATTTGCGGCGGTGTCGTTCCAGCTTCTTAAGAAACCTTTTGGGTCGACCAGTTCGTGTTTGAAGGCTTGGAGGGATTGGTAGTCTGCTTCGGTAACTATTACACCATCCCAATTATTAGAGTTGGCTGAAGCAGCTGTAATGCAATGCGTTGATACTAACTGAAAAATGAAGAAAAAGTGGGTCAACAACCTTAAACAAGAATAAGAGGGAAAAGGAAAGGGTGGCACATCATCATCATCACTGTTGCCCATGAGAAGAAAATGTGCAAAAAACAAAACAAAGAAGAGAGACGTGTGTGTGTGAGAATAAACTAGAAAGAAGAAAAGTATTTGGTCATAGGTTAGCTAGTGAGAAGTTAAAAAAACAATAGAAGAAACAGTGTGCAACAAGATTTTGTAGTGAGAATAGAATAGAGGTTGAAGGGGAAAGAATGAATTAGTGGGGTTCTTGTGATCTGATGATGAGACACACACGTGAAGAGAGAGAGAGAGAAGAGAGAGAGAGAGTGTAAGTAAAAAAATAATAAGAGAAATTCTAAAAAGTTGGGTGTTCGGTGTCACTGTGTGTGCAGTAGGTGTGTGGTACATTGATTCGGCCGAAGTTGTAACGGCTACATTTCCTGAATTTATTTTGCACATATGTCTAGGGGTTTTGGAAACTTGGGTCCATTTCTTTATTCTTAATTATTACTACTATTATTTTCAGATTATTATTAGGCTCCTCCCTCCCTCTCTTGCCACCTCCAACGGCTCTCTTTTTCATGTGGGTCCCCAGTCAGTCAACTCTAATAAAAAAATTTGTTGTAGGTCTTGTTGGGAATTGCGACTCAAGTGGGCCCCGTCTTTGAGTTCTGCACCTGGAATGACAATAATGCCCTTGAGAGTCCTCCTCCTAGATTTGTTTTTTGGGAGGTTGTTTTGGTCATACGAGGGTTTATTTACCAAACTTTGGTCCTTGTCCTAGGTTTGTTTTTGAAAGCGCTTCCTTCGTGGGCTAGGTTTATTGTTAGTTGGTGGTTAATCTAAGTGTTTATGAAGAAGGTCATTATCCTAGGTTGTGACCTACTAATGACTTCCTTTTCTATAGTTTTAAACAAAAAAACTAACTATTATAAATGCTTGGCGGCCCCTAAGCTGTCAAGATATGAAGTAATAAAGACAAAGTACATTTTTTGTATTTTCACCTTTTAATTTGCTGCGCAACGATATATCTCATACTTTGATTTATTAATACTAATACTATACTTCTTCCATGGCAATTATCTGTCTTTTTAGCTATTTGCATAAGAATTAAGGAAGACAACATTAACATATGACTATATTTTGAGGAGAAAATTCATATTTGGACTAAAATACGCTTCACTAATTTACTTAATTCTCTCTCATCAACACTAATTGTTTAAAGAAAAAAACTTGAACTCTCAAATAAATACATAGATAGGTCTAGAAGATTTTCAATAGTAATTAGTCAAAAATAATTCATCTGAAAAATATTTCATTAATGTTTCAACCATCCACCAAAAATCACAAAAATCATGAACTAAATCGCACGCTTTTCATAAATAAAACCAATAGCAGTTTAAATATTTTTTAAAATTCAAATATATACCATAAAGACTACCTATAATAAGTAGTCGATGAATGATTTTTTGAACCTTCAAGCAAAAAATAAAAATAAAAATGGTGTACAATAATTAAAAAAAAATTAAATATACTTGCATCGCTGCAATAAATAAGTGGTCAATTTTATTGGGCAATTTGCTATAGGTCCCTCTGTATTTAATTGAGGTTTTAGTGCATAAGTCTCTAACCAACCATTTTTATTATTCTAGGTTTCTTTCATCAATAAGCCCTCATTTAATATTTATTATAAATAAATGAAAAATTCATTTATATGACAAAATTACCTCCAATCTTTACAGCCAATTATTAATTGTAACCACAATTTAATCAATTTTGACCACGAAAATCCAATTTTGACTTTTTTTTTCAAAATTACTTTTTTTGCAGCCGGTTTTCGGCGTTGACTTTTCATTTTTTTGGTATGTTTTTCCGCCGTCGGATTCCGGTGGTGACCGCCGGTCCCGGCGTCGAGGTTTTTTTTTTTTTTTTCTAGTATGTTTTTCCGCCCGCCGCTAAACGTTGATCGTTATTGTGCTGTCATTAACGGTAATTATACTGTCACTGACAGTAAATTAATGTAATTATACTGTCACTGACAGTACATTAACGTAATTGTATTGCCGTTGACAATACATTTATATAATTGTACTACCGTTGACAGTACAATTAGAGTCAATGACAATATTATTATTATATTTTTGTTATTTTTTTTAATTTTGTTTGTTTTATTGACAAGTCAACGTAATTATATTACTGATGTTGACAGTTAAATAACTGTAAACACAATAATATTACTGTCAACCACATCAATATTATTATTTTTTTTGGGTTTTTTGTTTTGTTTGAGTTATTCACGGAGTAACGTAATAATATTACTGTATATTATTGTAATATTACTCTCACTCACAGGTATATTAATTCTTTTGGCCTTTTATTATGTTTACCTTAGTTGAAAGGTCAACATATTAATATTATTCTATTACACAATAATAATGAGTTTTGTTGTGTTAATATTGTTGTGCTAGAGATTAATATAGCAATATTACTGTGTTAAACTGTAGTATAGTTAATTTTATTGTGTTTAACAGTAATATAGTTAATATTATTGTGTTTAACAGTAATATAGTTAATATTACTGTCAATCACAACAATATTGTTGTTTAAACGGGGGCAAAAAGATGTTAAAATAAAAAAAAAATTGAAAAAGTCAACGAGGGAAACCGGTTGCGGAAAAATCACGAAAGAAAAAAGTCAACACCGGAGACCGGCGGAAAAATCAGGAAAAAAAGAAATAAAAAGAAAGTCAACGGCGGTTGACCGGCGGTCAACGGCGATGACTGACGAATTTGTCCATAAAAATGTGTTGGGTCAAAATTGAATAATTTGTAAAATTTGTGGTCAAAATGAGGTTAGATTAAATTAAATGATTAAATTGGAGCATATTAAAGTATGGGGGTTATTATAGTCTTTTACAAACCTCTGGGACCATGTGTGGACTTTTTTGTAATAGAGTTTATTGTCTGAACTTATTTATGAATAAGTACCCATTGATTGACTTATTTGTAAAGTGCCCTATGCGGAAAAAATAGAGAAGATACATCACCGAGGGAGGGAGAAAATTCGGGTGGTACCTTAATATCTTTCTTTTTCTATATTTTCCATGAACACCACCCAAATTTCCTCCCTCCCCGACTAAGAAGAAGATGTCGGAAAGAAAGAGAGAAAAAATAAATATATAAGTTACCACCGCCGGGGGAGGGAGGAAAATTGGGTGGATTTCATGGATCTGATAGAAAAAGACTTATAGAAAGAAGAGTACCACTACCGAGAGGGAGAGAATTGGTTTGGTGGTCGCTGGCCATGGAGAAGAAGAGAGGCGGTGGCTAGGTTTTAGGCCATGGAGAAGAACGGAAAAGATAGAGAACCACCGGGGGAGGAAGAAAATTGGGGTGGTGTTCATGGAAAATATAGAAAAATAAAGATATTAAGAGTACTACCGCCGGGGGAGGGAGAAAATTGGGTGGTCACCGCCATGGAGAAGAAAGGGCGGCTAGGTTAAAAAACCTGGTGCTCTGATACCATATAGGAACAATGGTGTCGGAGAAGGAGAGAAATAATAATACGTAATAGAAACCCCCATTGTGTTATGGGTTGATTTACATGGAATATATGTAGAGAAATATTGCAAGGTAATAGAGTTTGACTAGGTAACTAAATCCTAACTAATCTAGATAACTGAATCATAATAGAATCCTAATATTACAAGAGTTATTATAATATAATATACTCTTATACGCTCCCGCAGTCGAAACGTGACGAACGTGAAGACTGGACAATCGCTTGCTAACACGCTCCTGCAGTCGGAACGAATAAACTCCAAAAGTGAAGACTGAAAAGAAAACCCGCAAAATCCACTCATTGGTGAAAATATCTGCCAAATTAATTGAAAGAAGAAAATAACATGAAGAGAATTTTTTGTTTTATTTATTTATTTTTTTTAATCGAGAGAGAGAAGATATGAGAGAGCGAAGAAAAATAATTAAAGAAGGATAGAAATCAAAGAGAGAGAAAAGAGATCAACCGACTAAGAAGAAGAATATGTCGAAAATAATACTTAAAAGAGAAGAGTACCACCACCGAGAAAGGGAGGAAATTGTTGGAAAAATGAAATCTGCTAGTAATGAATATTTGCCGAGGCGAGTTGACTCTATCCTTAAGACGAAATTTCCCGCAACGGTGCTAACGGCTTGAACGGAAATCGTCTCCCAAGATACAACAGCAAGGCTTGGAATAGGAGCATTCCAAATCCCAAGTACGACGAACTGTACTTTGTGTAGAACTTTTCGAGAGAATCTGTGAAGGGTAGGCTAAATATGCAGTAGGCTGATTTTGGATTTAAGTGAGGAATTATGGGAAATACGGGGTCTATTTATAAGGTTTGAAAAGTAGTGTCCTTTGGAGCAAAAATGTACAAAACATACTGGTTGAGCCGAAGATATGTGTTGTTTCAACTAGGAGTCTTTTGGGCCGAATAGTTGCACCAATTCGAGTTGAGCCGATTGCTTTGCAATGGTTCGGCCGTACCAAGTCAAACCAGTCAGACCATTTCGAGATGGGCTTCGGGTAAAGAGAGTCCAATGGGTTGACGACCCATGACCTAATGTTATTGGCCAAAAAAATAATGTAGTGGTTTGGGCCGGAGCCCAAATCCAAATTCGTCCGTATGAACGAACGAGCCGAGCCGGACGGACACGGACGGCGGCGCACGATTTGAAACACATAACATATAGGCCTTTCTCCCAAACAAAATTGAACCTTCTCTACTTTTCCAATGTGGGATAACTCAAAATCCCACTTTCCTTGTATTTTGGACTAGTAATTTTTCATTCACCACAAAATTGGTTTTATATTAATCTAATCCAAACTTTAGGGTGGTGTTCATGGAAAAGATAGAAAAAAAAAAAGATATTAAGAGTACCACCACCGGGGAGGAAGAAAAATGGGTGGTCACCGCCATGGAAAAGAATGGCGGGTAGGTTAAAAAACCTGGTGCCCTCATACCATATATATAGAGAAATAATACGAGACGATAGAGTTTGACTAGGAAACTAAATCATAACTAATCTAGATAACTGAATCATAATAGAATCCTAA